CATAACAAGTTAATGCTATCAAGAATCTTCAGCTAAGCAATCTATGATGAGTCTTACATCTTTGGTGGATTTCCTTTCTCCTTTTTCGTTACAAGTTATGATCGTCGAGTGGATGCTACAATTAACAACCTAGGATAGATCAAGCATCCTTAGTAAAGGACTTTTTGTCCATCTCTAGTGACACAACCCAGGACGAGTAAACATTGTTTGAGTTACTCCAAATATTTTTTGGTAGCTCTCAACTCGCTTTGCAATATTCTAATTCAAGGTTGGATTGTGGTAAAGGGAATGAATTGAAATTCAACAAGAGCAATATGAAGTAAAATATATACACTATCACAAAGTGTTGAGAGCTATAAAAAACTGCATAAAACAACACAAACAAACAAAAAGGTACAAATTACATCAAATATAAAAAAATCCACCAATGCATATATAAATACATATTATTAATCAACATCTTGATCATCTTCCTTCTTCATAAAGGTGCTAATGCAAGTTATTTTTAGCTTCTCCACTTTTCCAAGCGAGAAATAAAATCTTTACACAGGAACTTGGAGGTGAGTCATACGTGCCAATTTCCATCCAATAGTGCATCATATGAACCCCTTTTAAAAAGTCTTGATAGAATTTTTCCTTGCATACTAACTTTTTATTCTGCTCTTCAAGCGCTTACATTTTCATTTGAAAAGCTTTTGCAGTCACAACATTTTAAGTGAGAAAAGCTCATGCTTCCATCATTTCTTCTCAAGCTTTCTTCAGCTCTCAAATTCACAGAGGGAAAAAAATCGCAATGATGGATAATTTAGTCTTATACTTTACTAGTTGATCTTCTAAGGCTAATATATGCTTTGTACTATCATTATATATCCATCTATACTCACTAAGAATATATTTGATGTTCACATACTCTAAGTTCCAAGCCATCGAGGAAAAAACTAGCTCATCTCTGGTAAGTGTTGATATCACAACTTTGAGATTCTAGTACTTCCTTTTATTTCTTGGGAGGATTGGATTATTAGAAAATCAATATCTCAAAACACAAAAAATCTCCTTTAGACAGCGTGATTGCATTACAAAAATGAAATATGAGGGTTGCACAACTTCAGTACAAAAAGGAGGCACAATATTTGGCCATAAGACTCTGATGGTTGCGCTACATTGAAGAATAAGAAGGTACAATAGTTGGTCAATGGGCTTTGAGGTTTGCATTACACCTGCACAAAAGAAGGCACAATAAATGGCCAAAAAAAGTTTGCGGATTGTGCTACTCCAACGCAGAGGGGGCACAACTGTAGGACAAAGAACTCCATACACTTCAAAGAGGAAGTGTTTTTCTCCTCTCTTTTTTTGGCCTAGTTATAAGCTCAAATTGACCAAAAAATATCCAATAGTTGCCAAAATCCAGTTTGTCCTGCAACAACCAACACATTTTATCTGATTGGGTGTAATCTAATACAGTCTACTGTGATCCACAGTTATCGCATGCGGATCACCCGTGCTTAGTGGCTATCTCATGTCGATCACCTGTGATTTGTGCATATTGCATGTAGGTCACTGGTGAGCCACACCTCTGCAATGTTGCACAAATTCTCGTTGCTTGATCCCGTATTGCTAGTCGTCCAATCCTGTGTCCTGCTTCTTCCCTCTGCTGTCTGAAACCAATCAAGATTTGTGTCGTGGTCTGCTACACTTCACCAACCTCTAGATCTATCCCACATTGTTGGCTGATCGACGCCATGACTCAAAGATCTGTTGAACCAGTTCAATCGCTCGAGCTTGACTCACAATTAGCCCCTTCAACCATTGATGTCGCTAACCACTGAAGCTGGTTGCCATCTGACACTAGTTGCTACAGCTTGCAAACATTATCACTATTGCTGCTGTTGTTGGCGGTTGTCTATCACTGTCAACCACTATCAGTTACTCCCGTTGCCACCATCCACCTCTACAGTCATCGTCGAACACAAAATTTTTTAAGATTTTTGAAAATTTTTGAAGAATTTTATTAATTTGATAGTTTTTAAATGAGAAAACAAAATATTCCAAATATTGGCATACAACTGATACAACATCAATAATTTTTACCTTTTGGCATGAATCTCAAGACATTTGGCACAAACCTATAAGAATTTTTTAGCAAGAAACATTTAAACTCAAATTAAAAATCATCCAGAACTATGTTATAAAAACACTTACATTCAAACTGACCAGCTCGATGAGATGACCCTAATGATACTAAAATTGATCCAATATGAGTCAAATCAAGCGAGCCTTTAAACCACTTTTGGAAGCTTTAGGTGGTCAATTGGAGGGTCAAATCGATTCAAAATCTTACGAGCTTATAGTTAAATTGTAAGTCCTAATGAGATAAATTCAACAAGCCCAAGACCATTCAATTCTGACATCATTAAAACACTTAAATGTCCATAAATGTCGTATGATCCAAAGCATTACTCTAGGTTATCTGATAGAGTGGTATGAATTTCTTCTTTATTTAAAATGGATGCCCCTCTCAAAATCTATAAATAAAGCCCTAGTACCTTCATGAAAGGGGACCTAGACCAAAACCTGGGGTGAGACCTGCACCTATGGAAAGGAGGAGGAGGAGTAGAATCTGAGAGTTGTTTGGGATTTAAAGATCTGGCTATAAATTCCGCCCTCCATAGCCTCAAGCTATCGTCGACCACTGTTGACCACCCCCTGCTTGCCACTATGTCTTCTTGCATCGTATATTGACAAGCGATGTCTTTGTTGCAATCATCTACCGATGTAGCACCAAACAAGACATCAGTGGTTAATTAATGTTATTGTAGCTCCCCATTACGACCTTCTTAACCAAATGCGCCCTATATGGTTCACTGCTCATGCACCTTCCAACTACGTCCTTGGTGGCTAACTGAGGCTATTACAAGTTCCAACTATAGCCTACGTGACCAAATACAACCTACGTGGCTAATTGGTACAACAATTCCTAACTACAACATTTATTAACAAATGACGCTGTTATTGCAAGCCAACACAACCTACATGACTAACTACTATCATTTTAGCCCTCCACCACGATCATTACAACCTCCACCCTGCCCTTTGTGACCAATTGATGCTCTTACAGTTACACATTGCATCTTATGTGACCAGTTACTACTGTAGATCCTCACTACGACTTTTGTGATTTGCGGTCTGTGTGACATGCTATAATATTTGTAAGACTGGTGAACTACTGCTTTTCTAGGTACATTCATCGTCCATAATATTTGTGGTGAACTGCTGCCTTTCTAGTAATCAACTATGACTTTTACTACCTACTATTGCTATCATCACCAAACACTACAGTTCGATTGCGGTTGTTATTGCAGAACTATTATTGATAACTATGATTATCAACATTGTATATAAATAATTTTTCCTAATTTAGTAGAAGAGTCAACATATGCACCGATATAATCACATAGTAGACTACTTTAACTGGGCTAGGCCCTATAGTTTTTCCATGTACCAAAGTTTTCCACATAAAAATACGTGGTTTCTTCTTCTGCTATATCTCTTATATTAGTGTGTGTGTGTGTATGTTGAATCTTCGAATAATATTAAGAGGTAATTATTGCTCTATCATCGTGAATCTTCCAACATGCAATAGAAGTTATTTAATTTTGTTAACTATAAACTTAATTATAAAATAGAAATACTCCACTAGCATATTCTTTAGGTGATTATTTCTCCACCATCATATTAATAATGTGTTTTAGGTAAACCATGATACGGTGAGCAAAAAGCTCAAAAATGTTAGTAGTCGGGTTAGGGAGTATAATACATATTTATATTAAATACTATTGTCAACATAAATTAAAAAGTTATAAATAATTTATGCGTTATGCCTGGATAAATGATGATAGACGTGACAATAAAATATACATTTACATAAGCACACAATTCTCATCTATTTACGTTTACATGTCACACCAAAACTTTTATATTTTATATTTACAGATTTAGTTCTAAAATTTTTAATTTCACATTAAAAATAATAATAATATTATTTTTTAAAAGTACATATTATCATGTATAAATTTAAAGAACTAGTGTTATCCAAGCAAATATAGAAAAAATATTACATCAATATTACACATGTAGAAATAACGTGCGTAGCCAATGAAATCACGTCATGACATCCCGTGCGATAGAAAAAAAAACGGCGCAGTAACACAGCGAATATTTTCCTTGTGTTATTCATGTGTTATTGCGTGTTATTCATGTGTTATTGTCTGTTATTCATGGGTTATTGTCTGTTATTCATGTGTTATTGTCTGTTATTCATGTGTTATTGATGTTTTATTGTGTTATTATAACACAAAGAATATTCTCAGAACACAATAACACATGAATGTCACACAATAATACCTGAATAATACGGGGAATATTCCAGACAGAGAAAAAGTGGTGCAGTAACAAAGGAGAATATTCTCTCTCGTGTTATTCATGTGTTATTGATGTGTTATTGAGTTATTATAACACCAAGAATATTTTCAGGATACAATAACACATGAATAACACACAATAACACTTGAATAACACCCGGGGGGGGGGGATATTCCCCGTATTACTGCGCCGTTTTTTTTCTATGTTGCGGGGTGTCGTGACGTGATTTCATTGGCTACGCACGGTTCTATATTTGCGGATGCTATATGTGCGTAATACTAATGTAATATTTTTTTGCAAATATAAAATTTTAGATGTGAGATGTTAATACACAAGAACCGTGCGCTAAGTATGTGAATTTCCCACAGAAAAAAAAAATATATTTACATATCACTTAATTTCTATATAAGTATATATCCAATATATAAGCTTCAATCTTTATATATAGTCCCATCTTATCTATGTCTGAGAATAATACATTTAGGAGTTGGCTATAAAATACAAGGGAATTGCGGATATGTATCTGAGAGAGGGCTCGGGTGGGCGCTATAGCCGTCTGTGTAGCGGTTGGCTCTGCCATCGCTTTCAAAAAGTCTCACCGAGGCCGGAAGAACCTCGCCCTCCGCTACACGAACGCGACACTGTGTCAAGCAAGTCGCTGCAAAGCCAACGAAGTCCCCACGCTTTCTCTGTGAATATCCCTCTCCCTTCTCTCGCAAAATTTTCTAGCTCGAGAGGAAAAAAAAAGGGTAGATAGGGGAAGTGGATCTGAGATTTTGTTTCAAGGGGAAAGGTAGAAATGGATCAGATCCTGAACAAGGTGGGTGGTTATTGGTTCACAAAGAGGGCTAACAAGGAGATATCCTCCGTCGGGGATGACATCAATGTAAGTATCTTCTTCCCTGGCTTTGTTATTGCAAATTACGCGAGTTGGGCTTGGGTTTCATACAAGTGCCCATTTCTCCGACTTTTCAGTTGGATCTTGACCACCCTCCCGTCGTTGGCTTTTGCTGTTGAGCTAGGTTGTTTATAGGTTGCCTGAACAACACCTACGTTTCTTTTTTTTATTTTTTTTTATTTTTTTTAGTTTCCAAGGAATCGTGATTTCTTCAATCCTATTATCTTTTATCGGGCATACATATTCCTGTTCGCAAACAGACGAATTTAGAAACTATAGCAACACCTGTTCTGTTTTAGTTAAGTTTTGCACGGGAAACCAATTAATACTGATTGTTCAAGTGTATAATGATTTTGTTGGACAGTGGTGGTTGATTTGTGTATAATTCAGTATTGAATTAACACATATTCAACGGAACAGATAAGGCTAGAGTAGCAAGCATATAAGGGCCTAAGCTCATATTTCAACATTTAATGGGGGAATGTTCTTTTGGATCCAATTTTATATGCATGCTAACAAATCTTCCCTTTACATTATAGTCCTCCATATTGTTTATTTCTCTTCTTTGGGTCGAGTACTTCGAGATATAGTTAATAATGAGGTCCTAGTGTGGGATTAACTATCTGTTGAACATTACTCAATAATGAGAGGAGTCTGAGGAGTTTAGAAGTAACAACTGCGTAGAGCAACCATCCCATGTCAATTTGTTGTCTTAAATGAATGCAGAATCTGAGCACTATTCCTTAAAGTTCTTACGAATAAAAGCAGAAGTCCCAATTGACACCTTTGTGATCCTTAACTGGACAAGTATATTTTCTTATGTAGTTCAGTATTGTCCCAAATCAATGGAAAAACCCTCGGTACTTATAATCTTAATAATCATGAGTGTAGTTGTGCTACATAGCTAGTGCTATGGCATTACTTGATCTGATATGGTTTGAATTAAGGCAATTGATTATTGTAGGTTTCAATCAATATCATTGACTTTTTTTTTTCATTAGGGAGCTGTTGATTAGTCTAAGACAAATGACAACTTGGCTAATGCTAAGTTAATTCAGTCATTTGCAATGTCTTAACCTAGTGTCATTCTATATATTTACTTAAATCCTGTAAAGACAGTTATTATTAATTCCACTTACATATAAATAATAATAATCTGGTTTATATGGATCGTGGAATCAAACATAATGTGCATCTGATGCTCTCCATCACGGAGTTGGCTTAACTTTGGTTGAGAGCTTTAAGCCCACGCCATGCGATTAAACTTTATTTGCTAAATCTAGGTCTTACTTGTTGAGTATTGTAGCGTGATCCAAAACTAGGGCTCCTTATGGTGTGCCAAATCAGACATGTATGAGGCAGACCTCGATTTTTTGTAGAAAGGCCGAGTTCATATACCCTATTGACAACTTTAATAAGACTCAATTTAGAATTTTAATGTGTAGCCATCTAATTCCAGTCTTATTTAACTTACATAGTCACCTTGTCTTTCTTGAGTAGTTATTATAGACTTCATATAGCCAGTCACATTTGATAAATTATATTTGAACTGGTTTACTCAATTGGAGAAGCAATGATATACTCAAGTTCAATTAAACATATTCAGGTTTTAGCAAACCTATCTAGATGTTAGGCTCCACTTATTCAAACCTAGTTTAAGTTTAAGGGATGTCAACGTAAATGCACACAAGTTAGACCTGTTATAGTTGAGCATTTTCAATTTTCTTAGAATGAAATCAATTTATGAAATATACATGAGTTTAGTCTTGAACTCATCCTGAATAAATCCGATGGACACATTCTTTTTTTGATTAGTACAAATTTCTGGGTGCGACCACACCAACACAAGTGCACCGGATCCCATCAGAACTCCACAGTTAAGCGTGTTTGGGCGAGAGTAGTACTAGGACGGGTGACCTCTCGAGAAGTCCTCATGTTGCACCCCTCCATTCAACACTGTTATTGCTGGTCCCAAGCCCAAATGTGAAAAGTGATGTGAAAAGTCGAGGGTTGCGTTAGGTAGTCGACAACCAGCATAAAACTTATCGAAAAAATCATGACATGAATCATTTTGATCATTGTGTAAGTGTTAGGGCGTCCACTGGAAGCGACACACTGTATAACTTGAATACAGTGAAAAGTGTGTAAAGGTCGTTACACCGGCGACCGAGTGTAGTGTCAAATAAGCAGAAGTTCTCACATTACAGACAGATGCGGGTAAAGAAGTCAGTCCATCAAACTAATGAAACTAATATTATGATAAGATCTTAGAATATAGGTACTCTCAATGGTAAATTAATGGAATTAGTTGATAATATGATTCATAGAAAGATTAATATTTTATGTATTCAAGAAACTAAATGGCTTGGAGAAAAGGCTAATGAGATTGATAACTTAGGTTTTAAACTTTGATATTCTCAGATAAGAGTCGCAGTAACAATTGTAAGAGTTTGAAAGATAATGTTGTAAAAATTAATAGAGTTGGAGATAAAATTATAGCCCTTAAGATTATCATTGATACTTAGATTTCTAATATTATAAGTGCTTATGCTTCTCAAGTAGGTTTAAATATAAAATCTAAAGATAAATTCTGGAATGACTTAGAAGATTTAATACAAATAATACCTCTTGAAGAAAGAATTTTTACTGGAAGAGATTTAAATGGACATGTCGGTAGAGTGGTAGAAGATTTAGAATTATTTATGGTGGCTACGATTTTTGAGTGACTATTGAAAAAAATAGAGTTATTTTAGATTTTGCTTTAGCGTATGATTTTGTTATTACTAATACTGCATTCAAGAAAAGAGATTAACATCTTATTACTTATAAGAATGAATATAATAAAACCGAAATTGATTATTTTCTTATGAGTAGAAGAGATCGCCGAGATTGTAAAGATTGTAAGGTCATTCAAAGTGAGATTTGAGTACCCAATATCATTTATTAGTTTTAGATTTTAAGATGAAGAGACTTAAAATAAAACATATTAGAACTCATCATTGTAGAATTATATGGGAAACCTAAAAGACAAATAAAATTATTTTTATGAGTAAAAATCAAGATTTTAAAATTTAGGATGCTCATGAAGAAGTAAATGCTATGTGAGATAAAATAACAAATACTATTAAACAAGATTTAAGTACCCAATATCATTTATTAGTTTTAGATTTTAAGATGAAGAGTTGTAAAATAAGGAATATTAGGACTCATCATCGTAAAATTAGATGAGGAAACCTAAAAGACACAAATAAACTTATTTTTATGAGTAAAATTCAAAATATCAAAATTTGGGATGTTCATAAAGAAGCAAATATTATGTGGCATAAAGTAACAAATAGTATTAAACAAGCAGCAAAAGATGTGTTTGGAGAATAAAATAAAAATTAATAAATAAAACTAGTTGGTGGTGGAATAATAATATGCAAAAAATTATAAAATATAAGAAGTTATTTTATAAAAATTGGTCTAAATGTAAAAGCTTAGAGAACTGGGAAAAATATCAATTGGCTCGCAGGGAGTCTAAAAGAACAATCTGTGACACTAAAAATTCTACTTTTAATGATCTTTATAATATATTAGATACTAAGAAGGGTTAAAAATATATGTATAAACTAGTCAAACAAAGAGAAAAGAAAAATAAAGATTTAACTCAAATAAAGTGTATTAAAGATGAAAATGAAAAAATATTTTTCTTAGAAAAAGATATTCAAGATAGGTGGGTGAATTATTTTCATAAACATTTTAAAGAAGTTTCAGAAAATATAATCGACCTTAGTGATCTTAATATCGTCAATAATAATAAAACGTTTTGTTTTTACCGTAGCTGGTTTTAAAAAAATCAAGGGTGGAAAGTTTGTAGGACCTGATATCCCAATTGAATTGTGGAAATATTTAGGAGATTTGGGACGTTCTTGGCTTACTAAACTCTTTATTATTATTTTACAAATTATCATGATGCCTAAGGAGTGGAGGAAAAGTATTTCGGTCCCCATTTTTAAGAATAAAGGGGATGCACAAGAGTGTGCAAATTATAGAGGAATTAAGTTGATGTGTCATACTTTAAAATTATGATAGAGGGTAATTGAATACAGGTTAAGACGCATTACAACGTTTTCTCATAATGTAATTTGGATTTATGCCCATTAGGTCTACTATGGAGGATATACACTTATTGAGAGGTTTGATGGAGAAGTTCATAGATAATAAGGAGGATCTACATTTGATTTTTATTGATTTAGAAAAAAACGTATAATAAGGTTCCAAGAGATTTCCTTTGGAGAGTTCTTGAGAAGAAATGTGTTGATATGACTTATATTCAATCATTAAAGTTATCTATGTTAGAGCTGTTACTTGTGTTCGAACTAAAGGAGGATTGTGCAAATATTTTCCTATTTCTGTGGGATTACATCAGAGATCGGCTTTAAGCACATATCTTTTTGCTTTAGTTATGGATGATCTTGCTGGATATTTACAAGAGGATGTACCTTGGTGTATGTTTTTTGCTGATGATATTCTTCTCGTGGATAAGACGAGAGAAAAAGCCCAAGAAAAAACTTGAATTAAGAAGTTCTGCATTGGAGTCTAAAGGCCTTCATTTGAGTAGAACTAAAACTGAATACATGGAATGTAATTTTAGTAGTAGTAGCTCTAGTGACAAAAGTGTATCTTTGAGTGATCAAATTATTAAAAGGTGTGAATGATTTAGATATCTCAGGTCTGTTGTTCAAATTGATGGTGATATAGATAAGGATGTTAATAGTAGAATTCAAGTTGGTTGGTTGAAGTGGAGGAATGCTTCAGGCCTTTTGTGTGATAGAAAAATACAAATTAGACCGAAAGGAAAATTTTATAAGGCGGTGGTGAGATCTGCAATTCTCTATGGCACTGAATGTTGGCCTTTAAAAGTGAAACCTAATACTAAGGTAAGTGTTACCGAGATGAGAATGATTAGGTAGATGAGTGACTTTACACTTAGAGACAAAATGCAA